TTACTTTTTTTTTTTTTTTTTTTTTTGGTGTGGGAAGCTCATTATTTCACCTTCAGTTTCGAAAGATAGCCTTACTGGATAGAGTAGTCTTGGTTTTAGGTTCTTGTTTTTTATTACTTTTGATATTTCATGCCATTCCCTCCTGACCTGTAGTGTTTCTGTTGTGAAATCAGCTGACAGCCTAATGGAAGCTCCCTTGTACGCAACTGTCTCTCTCTCTTGCTGCTCTTAAGATTCTCTATTTGTCTTTAACATTTGCCATTTTAATTATGATGTGTCTTGAAGTGGTCTCTTTGGTTTCATCTTGATTGGTACACTCTGTGCTTCCTGAACATGTGACTTTTTCCTTCACCAGTTTAGGGAATTTTCTGTCATTATTTCTTCAAATAGGTTATCTGTGACTTGCTCACAGTCTTCTCCCTCTGATACCCATATGATACAAATGTTGTTCCATTTTGCATTGTCCCAAAGTTCTCTTAAATTGTCTTCCTGCTTTTTGAGTTTTATTATTATTTTGTTTTTGCTGCTCTCATTGAGTGGTCTTTTTCTACCTTGTCTTCTAATTCACTAATTCACTGCTCTGCTTTATTGAGCTTGCTTTTACTTCCTTCCAGCATGTTCCTGATGTCAGATAATAGTATTCTTCATTACTGCCTTGTTGTTATTATTATTTTTTTACGTTCTATGTATACACCCTAGTGCCTGGATGTTTTTTCTTTTTCTTTTATGGTTGAAAGTATTATGAATGTCTCCCTTTTTTCCCCATTGACTCCCTCTTCCCCACTTCTCCCTCCTGCTTTCCCCAATCTAATGTCTGTGTCCATTAGCTGTACATATATGCATATAAGTTATTTGGTTTATCTCTTCCCATCCCTCCCACCCCCATCCCTCTGAGGTTTGTTAGTCTGTATCACATTTATTGATTTGCAAATATTGTAACAGCCTTTCATCCCTGGGATGAATCCCACTTGGTCATGAATAATTTTTTTTTAATATATTGCAAAATCTGATTTGCTAATATTTTGTTGAGGATTTTGGCATCTATGTTCATCAGGGATACTTGCCTGTAGTTTTCTTGCTTCATAGTGTCTTTATCTGGTTTTGGAATTAGCATTATGCTGGCCTCATAAAAAGAGCTTGGAAGTTTTCCTTACTCTTGAGTTTATTGGAATAGTTTGAGGAGAATGGGTGTTAGTTCTTCTTTGAATGTTTAATAGAACTCCCCTGTGAAGCCTTCTGGAACTGGGCCTTTTATTTTTGCTGGGAGTTTATTGATTACAGCTTTAATTTCCTTAGTGCTGGTCTGTTGAACTTCTCTGACTCTTCCTGGTTCAGTTTTAGGAGACTGTGATTCTAGAAATTTGTCCTTTTCATCTAGGTTGTCCAATTTGTTGGCGCATATTTGTTCATAGTATTTTCTAATAATACTTTGTATTTCTGTGGTGTCAGTTACTTCTCCTGTTTTGTTTCTAATTTTGTTTATTTGGGTCCTCTTTGTTTCTTGGTGAGTGTGGCTAAAGGTTCATCAATCTTGTTTATCTTTTCAAAGAACCAGCTCTTTGTTTCATTGATCTTTTGATTTTGTCTTTTAGTCTCTATGTTATTTATTTCCACTCTAATCTTTACTAGTTCTTTCCTTCTCCTTGATCTGGATTTTTCTTTCTGTTTATTTTCTAGTTCTTTAGTTGTAGGGTTAGATAGTCAATTAGAAACTTTTCTTGTTTCTTGAGGTAAGCCTGTAGTGCTATGAACTTCCCTCTCTGGGCTGCTTTCACTGTGTCCCATAGATTTTGTGTTATGATCTCCTTGGTAACCCATTCATTGTTTAATAACATGCTATTTAGATTCCACTTGTTTGAATGTTTTTGAACATTTTTATTGTTATTCATTTTTAGTTTCATGCCATTGTGATCTGAGAAGATGCTTGATATGATTTCAATCTTCTTGAACTCATAGAGACTTAGTTTGTGTCCTAACATGTGGTCTGTCTTTGAGAATGTCCCATGTGCACTTGAACAGAATGTGTATTCTGCAGTTTTGGGGTGTAATTCTCTGTAAATATTTATTAAATCCATCTGACCTAGTGCGTCTTTTAGAGTTTCTGTTTACTTGTTAGTTTTTTGTCTAGAGGATCTATCCAGTGATGTCAGAAAGGTATTAAAACCCCCTGCCAATGATTGTATTGTTGTCGACTTCTCCCTTGAAGTCATCCAGAACTTTTAAAATATATTTTGGTGCTCCTATATTGGGTGTATGTATGTTTACCAAGGTTATATCCTCCTATTGGATAGATCGTTTCAATATTATATAGTGGCCTTCTTTGTTTGTCTCTTGTTATAGCCTTCATTTTGAAATCTATTTTATCAGATATGAGTATTGCTATCCCAGTTTTTTTGTTTGTTTTTGCTTTTTTCAATTTTAATTTGCTTGAAAAAAATTTTCCATCCCTTCACTTTCTTTTTTTTCTTTTTATTTGAAAGCATTTATTTTTTTTTGGGGGGGGGGGTTACTTTTAAAAAAATCTTTATTGTTGAATGTGTTACAGATGTTCCTCATTTATCCCCTATTGACCCCCTCCTCCCCACTCCTGCCCCCCTCCCACCTTTTCCCACACTATTGTCTGTATCCATTGGTTATGCATATAAGTTCTTTGGTTTATTTCTTCCCACTCCCCAACCCCTTTCCCTTTGGGGTTCATGCAGGAGGTAACCAATCAATGTGTCTCTCTCACACTGATGTTTCTCTTTCCCTATCCTTTTACTCTCTTTAAAAATCAGTGGAGAAAATATCCTTGGAGAAGGGTTAACAAAAAAAAAAAGTGAATTTCACCTTTCTTCCCTTACCCTCTTGAAGCTTTTCTGGATCAACTCCAATCTTGCTTCTTTTTATCCCTTCTCAGAGGAAGTGGTACCCTTCATGTTTAGAGAACTTACTCTGTAATCTAGATTTCAAACTCCTCCAACTCTGGGACTTCACTTTTTCAGGTCTTTCATCTACAGCTTATGTCATCAACCTCTCTCTCCAATGCCTATAAACATTCTGAGTGATCCTCATATGAAAAAACCTTCCTTAAACTCATACCCCTCACTAGTCCTATGTTTATTCTTCTCTATATGGCTGCATTATTTTTATAGAATAGCCTATAACACTGTCTGTTTACATCATTCATTTTTCAACCCAGTTTGGCTGCCTTTACCACCACGTCACTGAAACCACCTTGTTAAAATTACTAATGACTTCGCCCTGGCCAGTTTTGATCAGTAGTTAGAGCATTGTCCTGCAGTCCAGAGAGACCCCCGGTTGAGTTCCTGCTAAGGGCACGTATCTCGGTTGCAGTTTGTCCCTCGCCCTGGCTGGGTCGTGCAGGTGGCAGCCACTCGATGTGTACCTTTCACATCGATGTTTCTTTCTTTCTTCCTCTCACTCTATCTGAACAAAAAATGAAAAAATGTCCTTGGGTGAGGTTTAAAAAAAATTACTAATGACTTCAAGAATGTCAAATTTATTACTTAACTTTTTTTTAGCATATATTATGAAAAGTAAAATATTTAGTAATGTTCATTCACTATATCTGTGCAGTTTGACAGTAGCTGTAGAGTGATCAACCATGTCATTACCACAATCAAAATAGCCAACATATTTATCACCCTTAAAAGTTTCCTTCTTCTCCCTATAATCCTTCCTGCTCACTGCTCCCCATCCCAGCCCCAACCAGGCAGCCACTGATCTGCTTTCTGTCACTATAGATTATCTTGCATTTTTAGAGGATTATATAAATAGAATCTTGCAGTTTATATATATATATTTTTGATTGTTTGGCTTCCTCATTCAGCATAATTATTTTAAGATTGGTTTGTGTTACAGTAATTCAGTCTTGTTTTTTGTGTGATTTTTTGACAAATAGTATAGTTCACTGTTTGTATCACAATTTGTGTTTTCTTTCATCTGTTAATGGATATTTAGGTTGTTTCTAGGGTTTGGCCATTAAAAATAAAGCTGTTACAGCCCTGGCGAGTGTGGCTCAGAAAAGTTGTAGGTTCATTTCCCTGTCAGGTCACATACCTAGGATGCAGGTTTGCTACCCAGTTGGGGCATTTACAGGAGGCAAACCATCAATGTTTCTCTCTCTCTCTTCCCCTCTCTCTAACATCAATGAGCATGTCTTTGGGTGAGAAGTGAAAAAATAAAATAAAGCTGTTACTAACAGTAATGTATAAGTCTTTGTATGGCTATATGCATTCATTTCTTTTGGGCAGATGTTGATAAGAACATATAGATGCTAAATAAGGCCTGGAGTCTAGTTAACAGTATTGTATCAGTGTCAGTTTTCTGGACTTAATATTGCAATATGTAAAATGTTACCACTGGGGACCTTATATTACTTTTGCAACTTTTGTGAATCTATAATTTTTTCAGAATGAAACTTTAAAATAAGTAATATATATTAATTATATAAAGTTTGGAAAATATAGGTTGGCAAATAAGGAAAAATTAAAATTGCCCGTAGTCTGCCCTGGCCAGTGTGGCTCAGTTGGTTGGGCATCATCCTGTGCACCAAGAGGTTGCCATTCCGATTCCCAGTCAGGGCACATGCCTGGGTTGGGGCTCCATCCCCAGTAGTGAGTGTGCAGGAAGCAGCCAATCGATGTATCACTTTCATATCAATGTTTCTTTCTTTCCCTCTCCCTCTCCCTCTCCTTTTCTCTCTAAAAGATCAATAAAAAATCTTTAAAACAATTTTTCATAGTCACACCCTTTCAAGATAATTATTAATAGTATTTTGATGTATAGCCTTTCAATGTTTTTGATAGATAGATTTTGTTTTTTGTTGTGGCTGTTTTTACCCAATAGGATCATATTTTGTAACCTGGACAGTAGATATTTTCTTCTTTGTGCCTACTAATATGGTATTAATGGAAACAGCTTTATTTTATAATTATGTACTCATACAAATTAAGGTGTTTGCTTCTAATTTATTTTCTTTCTTTTTCTATCTCTAGTTGACGACAGTGCAATTTTGGATTGCCAGTTCAGTGAATTTTATCATACTCCTCCACCTGGTTTTGAAAAAATACTATTTGAACAGCAGATCTTCTGAATGTATTTGTTTTTGAAACTTATATTTCTGCACTGTTAAAAATGTTTATCATTTAATAAAGCTTTACCTGGCCTATAGGTGAAAATATATTATTAAAAATATACTTGTTAATATTGTTTAAGGAACTAGTGTATTCAATATATCACCCAGAAATTGTGATTTAAAATACTTAGGTTTTGTGATATGAAATCAGCATTTTGGGCAGTTTATTTAATTCTTATTTAAATAAATATAACTATTTGTATGATTAACAGTATTAAGTGGAAATATGTATATAGGTATTAAAAAGGGAATTTTTCTTACATAAAATATTTGTTTAAATAGAGATGTAGAGTTGGGTGGGTTTCTGTCATTCTGAAGTTTAGATCATTAACTATTTTAGGTTTGCAATCCAATAATTTTGTGTGTCGTGTCCTTTTTTTTTTTTTTTTTTTTTAAATCCTCACCCGAGGACATTTTTCCATTTTTTGTTCAGGTAGAGTGGGAAGGAGAGGGAGGAACAGAGAGAGAGAGAAACATCGATGTGAAAGGAACACATTGAGTGGCTGCCACCCGCACTACCAACCAGGGCCGGGGACAAACTGCAACCGAAGTACGTGCCCTTAGTGGGAACCGAACCCGGGTCTCTCCAGACCACAGGCCGACGCTCTAACCACTGAGCCAAACCGGCCAGGGCTCGTGTCCTTTTTTATAGAGTATAACAAAGCAACAGAAATTTATATTATCGGCAGCTTCATTTTTAGCCATTTATTTACTGTAAGACCTATCACTTTTTTAAAAATTTAAACTGCTTATTTTGCTTGTATGCCATTGCTTTTGATTTGCTTTGTGCAAAGAGATAAATGTTTTAGTAATTGTTAGAGTATTTTATTGAAGACCATTATGCTGTGTTACTTCAGTACCAGAGTAAGTTGATTGGTGATACAGTATACACTGGCAGACACTTAGAATAGTGTGATGCTTTAAACTTAAATGTAAATGAGATTATTCCCTTAAGAACTTTTATTTTAATGTGTGTTTTTCTGTAAGGAATAATAAAATAATAGTAATTAAGGAATACTCAGTACTACAGTAAATATATTTTCTTCCTTTTCTGTTTTTTATACAGTAAATTTATTTCACCCTTATTTCAGAAGTTTAGAGATAAATGAATCCTCTTCATAACCCTGAACCTTTATCTAGTTTTCAGCAAGAATCTTTTAGTTTACACCTTACTAACCCATACTAATCACTGTACACATGTTTGGTACAGTCTTCTTTTCAAATGAACATGCCAAGGATGCATATGTTTCACTCCTTCATCAACAAGGGAGCAGTGTGTTCTACTAGAAAAATGTGGGCATTAGAATTGGAGATCTGAACTGTAATTTTGCCTCCTAATTCTGTTATCTTCTCAGGTGAGTTTTTCAGTCTCTCTGAGCCCAGGTACCCCCATTTACAAAAGGGATAATTATACTTCTTAATAAGATGTTATAACTAGTTAAATAAGGTAATATATATAAAACACCATAGGCACTTAATGAATGAATGTAACTTCCTTGTTGACTCTAATGCTGTGGTTTTCTTAGTGTGGGCCTTAGACCAGCAGCATCAGCATCACCTGGGAACTTGTTGCAAATGAACATACTCAGGACCCACCCCAGACCCACTGAATTAGAAATGGCTGGGGATAATGCCATCATCTGTGTTTGAATAGCCCTTCAGGGAATTCTAACAATACACACTAAAGTTTGAGAACCACTGCTCAATAGAGAATTCTTTGAGAATGATTATTTGCTATTAATTTTCTAAGGATTTAAGACCCATTATTTTTTACCTATAGACAGAAAATCCTGTATAGTATTTATTTATTTAGTTAGTTTATTTATTTGGTAGACAAACATAACATTATGCTTTGAAAACATTGATATACTTGATTAACATTTATTTACATAAATCCCAAATTTTACCTCTGAAGATACATAGAATTGAACTAACTATATTAGTTATGCATTTTTGTCTGACTTTCTATCTTAGCAATTGTAATTCATAGAGAACATGTTTACTTAGGCAAGTACTGTTTGCTGTCTTTATAATGTTACCTACCTCTTAGTTATTTTTTTAAAGCATATCTTTTCATCATCCTATTCTTTTCTCAAGACTATCTTTTCTGTCTCTAATCATACAGAATAGGCACAGTACCAAAAATGATATATGAGTTATATTAATGGCAACAGTTTGATGAAGTCTAGGTGTGTTTTTGAACTGTAGATATCTAGGAAAATTACCTCCTCAAAACCTTCACCTCAGTCTAAATTTGAGAAAAACATCAGTCACATTCCACAGGCATCCTGCAAAATACTTGAGCAGTATTCTTCCAAACTGTCAAGGTCATCAAAAACAAGGAAAAATCAGAGAAACTGTCACACCCAAGGAGGAGTCTGAAGGGACATGACAAGTAAATGTAATGTAGGATCCAGGAACAGGAAAAGGATATTAAATAAAAACTAAGGAAATTTGAATAAACTGTGGCTTTTAGTTAATAATAATATATCAATACTCCTTTATTAATTTTAGCAAATGTACCACACTAATGTAAGATGTTAATAACAGGAGAGACTTGGAGAGTATATATGGGAAATCTGTATTACCTTCTTAATTTTTCTGTAAATCTAACTTGTTCTAAAAAAATAAAGTATATTTAAAAAATTGCATTGAGCTAGGAGAAATTTAAAAATGAAGCCAATAGAATATTAGAACAGTTTATATGCATAGCTTGAATATTTAACAATAGCCAAATATAGACATAAAACATTCTTGCATTTTAGATGGGACATAAAACATTCTTGTATTTTAACACACAAAGACCTGCATTTGTTCTTGGCTGAAGAGAACATTGTCCACTGTCTTGATTCTGTATATTGCAAAAATCCATTTATTCACACTCATGTACTTATTCATATTCAGGCTGAAAATAATTTGTCCATGTTATTATTTTAATGATGTAAGCATTACATAGGATTTGTTATGTTAGATATGTGAAACAGTGAAAATTTTATAAATCTATTTACATATTAAAAGTTTAAAAAGAATTTGGCTTTTACTGCCTTTGGCTTATCAGTTTTGATTATCTGGATATATTTGCGACTTGGATTACAAACTACTCTAAATTAATTTAAGAATTATATAAAATATAATTTTAATAAGACTTTTCTAAATCCTTAACAAAACCACACATTGCATGATATTGTTGCTCATATCTCTTTATTATTTTTTACTTCTTAATTCAAGTCTAGATACAGACAGCAAAAGCATAGTTAAAAATGTTAGTGAAAACTTCGACAAATCTTGATAAAATACATCAAACAAAACTTCTTTTAGATAATGGAAAAAAACTAGATATTACTATGAAAAGAAATTCTGTAAACCAAATTGGAATTTCCCTATGTTCAGATAAACCAAGTCTAATTGATTATGGTATAACCATGTATATCATAAATGGGATATAATCAAATACCATTTATATCAATTTGCATTATTTATGCAACCTGGCAGGGAAATACCTTTGGGAGCTAACTGGGCTGTTGATGTGAATGAATGGAAACAAAGTAGTAGAATTAGTTAACTATTGTTCTTCCATTTACTGGATATGAGACTCCCTTTAAATTTACTCTTTTAAAATATCGGGGACCAAATTATTAAAATAGATGTAAACACAATAATGTTAGATGTAATTAGCAATATAAATGAATCACACACCATCCAAGAGTTCTGTAAAAATTTAAAGGAAAAATTGTCCCAGCATTGGCTGAAATATGTAATCTGTAGTTATGTAGGAATCATTACAATGTAATCATTTAACAATTGAATCATCTATATGTTTCATAAATACTTAAACAACATAGTCTCTGACCTCAAGGAGATCAGCTAGTTATAATTTATTCATAAGTATGACTCTAGAATATCTAAGATATATTGATAAATGGAAAAAGTAAGTTGTTCAACATTTGTATATAATGATGCATTAAAAACAGAAACTAGAGCCTATGTATAGAGAAAAAAGTATGAAGTGATATACTCCAAAATGTATCTATATTGGGAATAAGATTATGGTTTTATTTCGTATTTATCTAATAAATTTCACACAATCAACATATTTTGGGAATAAAAATAATTTTTAAAAATAAGAGGAAAGACTAATTCTGGAGGAAGGCCCTGTATACTAGAGAATGGTGAATTTTAAACACCTAAAAAAAAAAATCTGGAAAACAGTAAAATCACAATTGAATTACTTAATTACAGGATATGTGTGTTTCAGGTAATTTATATAAAAAGAATTCAGAAACTTTAGTTGATGCCTTGCCAGGCACCAGTCTACACCTGATCCCTGACCCAGGGAAGTAATAGTGTTAGTGAAGCCACATGAGGAGGAGACCAGTTCTAGTAGACACTACACTTTAGAAAGGACACTGATAAATCAGTGAAGGCTACCAGCCTGTTGAGGGTCTGCTTAGTCCATGAATGAATGAATGAATGAATGGTCCTTAAGAACAGTGAGATTGTTAGAAGAAAATATTCAATTCACTGGGCTACTGAATCCAAAATGACTTGTGAAGTGCTAATCATTATAAGAAAGAGACTAGTAATAAAACCAACTCTAGATTCATGTGTGATTCTCATAAATGTCTTTCAGGAAAGACAATCATTGATGTGTTTCAGATATCTGATTTTTCATCACTTGAAAATTCTCTTGCTCTGGAGGCAGGATTATTGGAAAGCATAGGGAAGCAGATTTCACTTTAAGATGGAAGGAAGCTTTTCTATCATTAGCACACTGATAAAATTGCCTTACAAAAACAATGAACTGAGGGATGGACAGAAACTGAAAAAGCTGCAGATCTGTGGGAACTCTTAGTTGAGAACAGGATGTGGACTGGACAGTAAGGCACGGGAAGAACAGTCCTGCCCAAGTGAAAAGCAGAGGACATGCCCTTTCCCCCACCTGTACAACAACTGCTTCTGCCCTGCCCTGCAGCAACCTGAGGCAAGAGGGAATGGTGCTGGACTGGAAATCTATACACCTGCAGCTGGATCTGGTGGCACAGGGGACTCAGACATTAGGCCTGGTCGGATGGCATCTGAGCAGAGGCTCCACGCAGGGTGGGCAAATGGCACTGAGTTGGGAATACCAAGCTACATTGATTTTTTTATTTTTTCTTTTCTTTTTTATTAATATTTTAAAGCCCCTCCTGCTTGAGGTAGCAATGACGGTGTCAGCAAGCCAAGCAGAGCTGAGATGGGAAGGAAAGGAAGTGCCTTTCCCCCCTCCTACAAGCTACAGAAACTGCTCCCAACATGAGTCTATTCAAATCTTGCTGGCCAGGACCCAGAAACCCCATGCAGAGCTCAGGTCCATG